GAAAACGATTTTGCGACTTTGCTCAGCGATGTGCGAATTTGCCTCTGTATTTCAAATTTTAGTGTTTTTGGTTTGATTATATTATTGAATTAAATTTATTATTATATTATTATTTTTTATGATTATTTATTAAATTATAATTTATGATTTTGTGTTTCAAGTTTTATCATATCTGGAATGTTTACTAGACTCTTGTTCGTACAGATTTCAGTGAGTTATTCCTAAAAATTACAGCCTACAATAAAAAACTACATATTTCCATGCAAAAAAATGGTACCGCTTTCAGCACAAAAAATCGGAAAGAATCATATCGCCGAGGAGGTTAAAAAACAGCCACTTACTTGTCCCTCGGTCCCGTGCTGTGTCCCCCGCAGCTCGTTTCACCGGCCATCCAATATTCCAGGAGGCCGGCATCTTCAGTGTGGGCACTCAGCTGTGATAGCCTTACTGCGCATGCGTAAGTAGTGCTGCGCTTCGTGAATGGTCCTGTAGTCTTCTGTTACCTGTCACGTGTCCCAGAAGACTACAGGGAGGGAGGGAGGGAGGACACCTTCCGTTTCCGATCGCCTAGGCGATCGAACTGGAAGTGGGAGCGGGTACCTGTCAAATTCAAGTACCCGCTCCCCAAAGGTGCCAATCTTTAATGGGGAGCGGTGGAGCAGTCCTTAAAGCGGAACTTCCCCTTTTTGGTGGAGCTCCGCTTTAAGAAGTACTTTAATGAAATAGGACAACAAGGATCTTCCTGACAAGGTCTTACAAAGGGTTGGTCAATGCTAAATTTAAATATAATTCCATCCATTTCTATCCTTTACAATACGATGGTGCCACACTTCCTCAGGGTGTGTTAGCATTGTGCTGCCTTTCAACATGCTTCCTGAGATAGAGAGCACTTCGTTAGTGTCCTGCTTCTACTTCAGGCTAGGTTCACATCTGTGCGGGTGGTGCAGCTGTGGATCCACACGAAAATCTGTGCAGCTGCACTACCCGCACAGAGGAATGCAGACCCACGGGTGGGTGCCATTAATTCTAATGGCACACCGCCTGCACTGGAAAACACAACTGTACTGGGAACCGAGGTTCCTGTACGGGCTTTGTTTTCAGAAGAAGTGTAGGGAGTACTTCCCTGCGTATCACGGGAGTCCATTCAAATGAATGGGCTCTCGTGCCCATGCAAAATGCAGCCAACATGGACGCATATGTGAACCGGGGGGTTACTGTCCAATAACAGACTGGGGTAGATCCTGGAAAATGCTGTATTGCTTAGCTGCAAGGAGGTCAAATGCCTGGCTCTTTTGTCTGGAAGGAGTTGCAAGATCACAAGACTAGACAAAATTGCAAGCAGTTTATTAAGTTAAAGAGTTCATATACTGTTTATGTATTTCATGTATTTATCTGTTTCCCTGCAGCTCAACTTTAAAGGTAATGAGAGAAATATGGAGGCTGGAGGCTGCCAATCCTGAACTCCTGAATTGGATAGTTTCATGGATGTCTATAACTTCAGTACTTGCTGTGTCAATAGGCCAGCAGCGTAGCTAAGTTAAAGTTGCTGCTCAAATATGCTGGCAAATGTAGGCATGTATACTCAGCTGTCAAACCCAAGTATAGCAATGGCCTGCTAAATAAAACTGAACTTAAAACGGAGTTCCACCCTAAAGGGGAAGTTCCGCTTTAATGCTTTGTCCCGCGCTCCCCATTAAGGATTGGCACGTTTGGGTAGTGGGTACCCGAATCTGACAGGTACCTGCTCCCACTTCCGCTGTGATCACCTAGGCGATCGGAAGCGGAAGTTGTCCTCCTCCCCGTAGTCTTCTGGGACACGTGACAGGTCCCAGAAGCCTACAGGGCCATTCACAAAGCGCAGCGCTTCTCTAAACTTAAAGCGGAGTTCCACCCAAAAGGGGAAGTTCCGATTTAATACTTTGTACCCCGCTCCCCATCAAGAATTGGTACCTTTGGGGAGCGAGGGGGGGAGCAGGTACCCGAATTTGACAGGTATCCGCTCCCACTTCCGATGCATTTGCCTAGGCGATCAGAAGCGTAAGTTGTCCTCCTCCCTGTAGTCTTCTGGGACACGTGACAGGTCCCAGAAGACTACAGGGCCATTCACAAAGCGCAGCGCTTCTCATGCATGCACAGTGGGCACCCGGCTGTGACGCCGCCAGCTGTCACAGCCAGGTGCCCACACTGAAGATGCCGGTGCCAGGGTGAGAAGACAGCCGGTGAAACCATCGGTGGTGAGGACACCACTGGACCGAGGGACAGGTAAGTGGCTGTATTTTAAAAGTCAGCAGCTACAGTTTTTGTAGCTGCTGACTTTTTTTTTTTTCAGTTGGAACTCTGCTTTAGATAGGAAGTCCAGGTTTCCTGAAAGTTTCTATAATTTTTGGGGGGCCACGTTAGTCCACATTATTTCCATCACTAAGTTATTTGGCAGTTCTGAACGCTGCATCATACTCCACATATGTTACATGTGGCAAACCTGCCCTTAAAGGGTAAGCTCACCTTTGGGAACATGTTACATGTTCCACCCGCTTTTAGGGTGGAACATGTAACATGTTCCCATAGCCGCAGCAGCTGCCCATCGCCTCCCTCCTTCTGACAGATAGTACGGGGAGAAATCTCTCACACGGCTACACCTTTCACACTTCTGACAGCGCTTAATCATTACCCCATGATTAAGCACTTTTAGAAGCGTGAAACACATTTACCTGTTTGTTCCCTGCTCCATCTGTCAGCCACCTGTCATTTGGTCTCTTTGTTTCTAATAAAGTGTGTTTTCAGAAATGCAGCCATCCGGAGTTTCCTGCTTCACAATACTCACCTGACCTGCTGATTCTCCCGGCACAAAACTGGTTCTTTCACAGCACAGCCATCCAAAGCAGTGTGCTTACAGTGAAATACATGAACACAGCACACAGTTAACCCTTAGATCGCCCCACATGTTAATCTCTTCCTGACCACTGCCATTAGTACAGTGTCAGTGCTTTTTATTTGCACTGATCACTGTATTGGTGTCACTGGGGATGTCAGTTACACCAAGTCTGTTCCCTCCAGTGTCAGAATGCTCGCTGCAGTCCCGCTATAATTCCCTGATTGCCGCCATTACTAGTAAAAATAAAAAAAATCCCAGTATATATTCCGCCATTTGTAGACGCTATAACTTTCATGTAAACCAATTAATTTACACGTATTGGGATTATTTTTTAGCAAAGACATGCAGCAGAATACATTTTGACATAAATTTATGACGAAATTTGATTTTTTTACTGGACATGTTTAATAGCAAAAAGTAAAAAATATAGTTTTTTTTTCTCAAAATTGTGGGTCTTTTTTTTTTATAGAGCAAAAAAATTTAAAATGCACAGACAATCAAAAGAAAGCTCAATGCGTAGGAAAAAAGGACAAAAACTTAATTTGGGTGCAGCGTTGCATGTCCGCACAATTGTCAAAGTAACACAGTGCAAAAAATGGCCTGGTCCAGGGGCGGACTGACCATTCGAGCACTCAGGCACTGCCCGAGGGCCCTGGGTCAGTAGGGGGCCCCATGAAATGCCCTGGTACCTTTTATAGGCTTTTTTGGGTGTACTTTGAGTGTGCGCAAGGACACAGGGGCCCCATGATCCCCTATTGCCCGGGGCCCCATGAGTTGTCAGTCCGCCCCTGGCCTGGTCAGGAAGGGGGGTAAATCTTCAGGAGGGCAAGTGGTTAAGGACCATAAAACAGAAAATACTGCATTTGGTTACTCAATGGTGCCAAGTATCATAGGAAATCTCTATGACTTTTAGTGCCATCTAGTGGTCAAATGCAGTATTTTCAATCAATGCAAATTTTTATAAAAACCTTACTAGGGTTCACACCTATGCAGGTTGCCGTTTTCTGCATTGCGTTTTGCGTTTTTGCACTTGTGTTTTTCCACGTTTTTTTTCTTTTAATTTATTTCTATGTTTCTTGTTGCTAGGCAGATTTGAAACGCATAAAAAATGCATAAAAAATACACTAAATGCTTTTCTATAGCATTTCCATTGAAGTCTTCCATATGGCAGAAAAATATATTTGAAATATTCTTCTCAAACATATTGCCATATATTTGAAATGCTACAATTTTGGCCATATTCAATATATTAAAAAAATAAATAAATATATATATATATATATATATATATATATATATATATATATATACTGCATGTTGAAATGCATTTTAATTACAAAATATATGAAAAATATTTTTAAAAATACATTTCAAATATACTGTATGTCTTTAAAAATACAAATATAAATTTTTGGAATGCATTTACAAATATATGGTAAAATGACTTTTTTATATGTTACAATAATCTGAATAATATATAAAAAAAAATCTATTTCAACATGCAGTATATATATATATATATATATATATATATATTGAAATATATTGAATAAGGCCAAAATTGTAGCATTTCAAATATATGGCAATATATTTGGGAAGAATATTTTTAGAATATATTTCAAATATATTTTTCTTCCATGTGGGCTATAGAACCAAAAACGCAAATTTTTGCATTCAAAAAAGTCCCTGACCCTTTCCAAAAAAACGCACGAAATGTGAACATGTCCCATAGGAAATCGTGTTAAATGGGCTGTATTGCATTTCTACAAAACACAAAACGCTGTGGAAAACGCTTAGGTGTGAACCTTACAGCAGACCAGGTAAACCCAGCATACACAGTTAAACTGGGATGTTCTTAACAGTCATTTTGTCAGCCATCAAAAAAACAGTGTGTAAGGCTAGGTTCACATCTGTGCGGGTGGTGCCACTGCGGATCGGCACAAAAAAATCCATGCAGCCACAACACCCGCAGAGAAGAATGCAGACCCGTGAGTGGGTGCCATTAATTCTAATGGCAAGCTGCCTGCACTGGAAATTGGAACCGTACTGAGAACCTCGGTTCCTGCACGGGCTATGGTTTCCAAAGAAATGCAGGGACTTCTTCCCTGCGTGTCCCGGGGCATGGGAGTCCATTCAAATGAATGGGCTCTCGTGCCCACACAAAACGCGGCTCGTATGGCCACATAAATGTGAACATGGGCTTAGTGGAATCAGCAAAATGAAAAAAATAAATAAATGGGGCCAGGAGTAAACATTGCAAAAAAATAGTAGTTAAAAGTAACTGGGAATATTAGTAGCACATATTAAGTTTGTTACATATTTAAAGTTTGTTACATATTGTGTTACATTTTTAAAGTTGGTCTTGTGCTTTAGTGCACTTTAAATGCATGTCTGAGATTCCCATTTACTTTATTGGTGTAATATAGTTTCTACTCTGCGTTTTTGTTTTGCGTTTTTGCACCTGTGTTTTTGCTGCGTTTTTTATGTGTTTTTTTTTTTTTTTTTTTTCTCTTGTTGCTAGGTATATATATAATGCAAAACGTATCAAAAACGTGGCAAAAATGCACGACATGCTTTTCTGCAGCGTTTCCATTGACGTCTATAGAAAACAAAAACGGTTACTTTTCAGAGCTTCCCCAGATTCGGTGTGCTCTAGTTGTACTCCATTGGGGTTCATTTACTGAAGGAGCAGAGGTAGTTTATTTAGCAAAGTGTACATTTCCCTTACTAAGGCTAGGTTCACACCTATGCAGGTTGCGTTTGAGCAGTTTCTGCATTGTGTTTTGCGTTTTTGATGTGTTTTGGGTTTTTTTCATATTTTCTTTTCTTTATTGCTAGGCAGATTTAAAACAAAACACAAAATGCAGCAAAACTGCACTACATGCTTTTCTGCAGCGTTTCCATGGAAGTCTATAGAACCAAAAAAACGCAACTTTTTGCATTAAAAAAAGTCCCTGAACCTTTCCAAAAAACTCATGTGAAAATGCACAGATGTGAACTTGTCCCATAGGAAATCATGTTAAATGGACTGTACTGCATTTCTGAAAAATGCAGAGCGCTGCAGAAAACGCTTAGGTGTGGACCTAGGGTTAAAGAGGTTTACTATTGTCAGCAGAGGGAAGAACATCCAGGATTGTTGTCATCCTATAGTATTAACTTTTTTTGGAATCATTTGCACAGTAAAAAAGGGAAAACAGATAAATACACAAAAAGAAAAAATATTAGGAAGCATTCATAAAATGTGTGTAGGCTGAAAACCGGGCAATTTTATTGGGAAGATTTAGGGTCCTTTCACACAGGAGTTCCATTATTTTCATCAGTTCAGTCACATTTTTTCACAGAAACAACGGAAGCGTTTTCATCAGTTTACATCAGTTTTTTCATCAGTTTTTCATCAGTTTACATCAGTTTTTTTTCATTGATTTACATCCCTTTCTCATCAGTTTTTCATCAGTTTACATCAGTTTTGCATCAATTTACGTCCGTTTTTTTTCATCAGTTTACTTCCGTTTTTTATCAGTTTTTCATCAGTTTACATCAGTTTTTCATCAGTTTACATCAGTTTTTTTTCCTCAATTTACTTCTGTTTTTTTTATCAGTTTTTCATCAGTTTACATCAGTTTTTTTCATCAGTTTACTTCATTTTTTTATCAGTTTATCATCAGTTTACATCAGTTTTTTTTATCAATTTACTTCCATTTTTTATCAGTTTTTCATCAGTTTACATCTGTTTTTCGTCCCTACCGTTCTGTTTTTTTTTTTTTTTTACGGACGAAAAATAGGGTTTTTTTCTGTTAAAAAAAACAGATGTTAACGGATGCAGACATTACCGGATGTAAACGGATGATCATCTGTTTACATCCGCTAGTCCATAGAAATACATGGGTGTTCATTTTTCATCCGTAAATGGACAGAAAAATGGACATACAGAACGCCCCTGTGAAAGAGTCCTTACTAAAACTGGAGCCCAGGAAGTTGTTGTTTTGTTGCTTGTGTGCTTGTTGGTGCCTTTTTGTTCTTGTTTGCATCTGGTGCAGCTGTTCATAGTACCCAATCAGCTTCTAAATTCAGCTTGCTCAATGGAGCTTTGACAATAAGGCCAGGTTCACAACTGTGCGCGTGGTATGGCTGCGGATCCACGCGAAAATCCATGCAGCCGCACCACCCGCACAGAGTAATGCGGACCCACGGGCAGGTGCCATTAGTTCTAATGGCACGTTGCCCGCACTGGAAAACGCATTCGTGCTGGGAACCAAGGTTCCCTTGTGGGCTGTGTTTTCAGAAGAAGTGCAGGGACTTCCTCCCTGCTTGTTCCGGGACACGGGAGTCCATCCAAATGAATGGGCTCTCGTGCACACGCAATATGTGAACCAGGGGTAACACACTCATAGCTGATTGGTTACTATGCTAAGATTCTCTGGGCTCCAGTTTTAGTAAATCTCCCTCTATATATTTGATGCATGTGGTTTTTTGTTGTGTTTTTTACTGTTCTTTGAAATAATTTAGATTTCTAGCAAACTGTTGATATTATTGTTAAGAATTCTCCCCACCATCAGTGCATGTTAATAAATATTTCATTGATTGTTACAGGTACTTACTTTCTGCATTTTGCTGATGGTGCAGCACTGTGACACTGATGTTATGTTGTGTTTGAATCCGCTGGCCACTAAAACGGAATATTTGGATGGGAATGCACTGGATTCACAATGACCGACGCAGGCATTTATAACTTGAGTCCCTCTGCAAGTCCCTTTACGATCACTTCTTATTGTAACATTAAATGCTGTATGGTAAAAAAAAAAAAAAAAAAAGATCAGAGTTAGATTGTGAAGAATTAAAAAGACACAAAATGTTGATCCAGTGAGTTATTCAATTGTTTTTGAGAAACAGGAAGGACTTTTTTTTTTGTTGGAGCAATTTGGACTATCCTTAATGTGGGTTTTTTTTACTTCCTCTGGATCATTTGCAGTTATATGATTCTGGGGATGCTCAGTGTTTCTTTTTTTTGTTGTTTTTTTACCTGACTAGCTAAGAGCAGAAAAGGATATTATTGCATTTTGATATACTATACTTACTTATTTAAACCCACAACCCACTGATACATATGAATTATTTATTACCGTACTTATATAGCTCCATCAATTTACATATATATTGCACACTCATGTCAGTCCCTGCCCTCCAGGAGCTTACAATCTAATGTCCCTAACTCACGTTCACACATACACATAGAATAGATGTAGGAACTCCTCCCTTGTCTTCGCCCCCTACACACCTCTGAGCACCTTTCCTTGGTTTCAACCAGGGGCGGACTGACAACTCATGGGGCCCCCGGGCAATAGGGTATCATGGGGCCCCTATGTCCTTGCCCAAACTCAAAAAAAGCCTATGAAAAAGGTACCAGGGGCATCTCATGGGGCCCCCTACTGACCCCGGGCCCTCGGGCAGTGCCCGAGTTTCCAAATGGTCAGTCCTCCCCTGGTTTCAACCCTACTCTCTTCCCAGTACCACCCCTTTTAGACCCTTCTCCAACAACAATGGAAAACCACAAACAAAATACCACCCCAGCAACATTAGACCCCCTGCAGCCACAACAGATCTCCCAGTAGCAGTAGACCTCTTCCTCAACAGTTGATTCCTCTCAGCAACAATTGACCCCCAGCAACATAAGACCCCTCCCCCACCCAGGAACAATATACCCTCCTGCAAAAATAAATCCCCTCCAGTGACAATAGATCCCCCAGCAGCCAGCATCAGTAGGCCCTCCTATTTAGGAGATAATAAATCCTTACGGTCAGTTTGATATGCCCGTCTCCGAGCTTTTCTAATTTGAGAGTGAGAGTATCCCCGTTCCCTAAATCTTCTATAAAGATCCTGTGTGCACACCCCCAGCTCCCCTTGCCATTACATACATTCAGTGCTTGAGGTGCCGCAAACTGTGTTCCTCCCACGTTCCCACTATAGAAAAGCCCTGTACATACTAGGGCCAATTTAGACAGGAGCTGATTAACCTATCAGCATGTCTTTGGAGTGTGGGAGGAAACCGGAGTACCTGGAGGAAAGCCACGCAGGCACAAGGAGGACATGCAAACTCCAGGCAGGTAGTGTTCTGGTTGGGATTTCCAACTAACGACCGTAGTGTGCTGGTACGTGGAAGTGCCTTAACCACTGTGCCGCCCCAAAATGTGTACAATTATGTTATATATTTTGGCAGTTATTTTTATTTTGCCAAACTAATTTTACTAATATTAAAACGTGATATTATGCAATCAGAGGCAGACTGACAACTCTTGGGGCCCCCGGGCAATAGGGGATCATGGGGCCCCTGTGTCCTTGCCCAAGCTCAAAAAAGCCTATGAAAAAGGTACCAGGGGCATCTCATGAGGCCCCTACTGACCCTGGGCCCTCGGGCAGTGCCCCAGTTTCCAAAGTTTCCAAATGGTCAGTCCGCCCTGTATGCAATTATTTTGAACATTTGTGCAGTTATCTTTAGTCTGAAAATAATTTTATTACCGTATATTAAAAATCATGCAATTATTTTGAATGTTTAAGCATTTATAGTTATTTTGCCAAGCTAATTTGACTTTATTATGCCATTCTTCAATAGCTAAGGAACAAATACCTTTTCTAATTGTTGGCACGTTTGCTAGTTACATTCATTCTCTATATGTATATAATGTTGAGATTCCCCATCACACTCCAATGCTCACTTACGGTGAATGTGGCATCCTGGCGTAGCGGCATCATAACTCTGAATCTTTGGGATGAGTACAGCAAAGATTAGGATGACAGGGGCAAAATGTCAAGTACATGATGGCTGTATTGGAGGAGAAAAAAACAGTTTACTACAGTCATCATTTATTACTACACTAGTCACTAAGGGGTTGATTTAGTAAAACTGGAAGTGCAAAATCTGGTGCAATCCTGCATGGTAGCCAATCAGCTTCTATCTTCAGCTTGTTCAGTTAAGCTTTGATAATAAAACCTGGAAGCTGATTGGTTTCTATGCAGAACTGCAACAGATTTTGTACTCTCCAGGTTTAGTAAATCAACCTCTAAATGTGACTAAAATGTGACTTATTCTGGCTTAGAGCTATTTCTCTGTGTGCAAACTATAAACCCACAAAACACATATTAGGGTTAATTTACTAAAGCAGCAAAACATTCTCACTTACCCTCAGTTCACACCTAAGCGTTTTCTGCAGCGTTTTACAGAAACGCAGTACAGTCCATTTAACACGATTTCCTATGGGACATGTTCACACTTTTATTTATTTATTTCAGGTACTTATTTAGCGCTGTCAATTTACGCAGTGCTTTACATATATATTATACATTCACATCAGTCCCTAACCCTCAAGGGGTGTACAATCTAAGGTCCCTAACTTACATTCATACATACACATGCTAGGGCCAATTTAGACAGGATTCAATTAACCTACCAGCATGTCTTTGGAGTGTGGGAGGAAACCAGAGTACCTGGAGGAAACCCACGCAGGCACAGGGAGAACATGCAAACTCCAGGCAGGTGGTGCCATGGCTGGGATTCGAACCAACGACCCTAGTACTGCCAGGCGGAAGTGTTAACCCATTTAGCCACTGTGCTGCCCACTTGTGTGTTTTCACCTGGTGAGTTTTTTAGAAAGGGTCAGGAATTATTTTTAACTCAAAAGTTTATTTAATTATTTATTTTAGGTACTTATATATCACTGTCAATTTTACGCAGCGCTTTACATATATATTGTACATTCACATCAGTCCCTAACCCTCAAGGGGTGTACAATCTAAGGTCCTTAACTGACGTTCATACATACTAGGGCCAATTTAGACAGGAACCAATTAACCTACCAGCATGTCTTTGGAGTGTGGGAGGAAACCGGAGCACCTGGAGGAAACCCATGCAGGCACAGGGAGAACATGCAAACTCCAGGCAGGAGGAGCCGTGGCTGGGATTCAAACCAATGACCCTAGTACTGCCAGGTGGAAGTGCTAACCATTTAGCCACTGTGCGTTTTTGTTTCTATAGACTTCAATGGAAATGCTGCAGAAAAGCATGGTTTGTGTTTTTGCTGCGTTTTTGCTGCATTTTGTGTTTTGTTTTAAATTTGCCTAGCAACCAGGAAAAAAAATATGAAAAAACCCAAAACGCATCAAAAACGTGGCAAAAAACACAAAACACAATGCAGAAACTGCTCAAACGCAACCTGCAGAGGTGTGAACCCAGCCTTAGTAAAGAAAATGTACTAAATAAACTATCTCTGCTCTTTAGTAAATGAACCCCAATGGAGTACAACTGGAGCACACCGAATCTGGGGCAGCTCCGAAAAGTAACCAATCAGCTTCCAGGTTTTATTGTCAAAGAGTAATTGAACAAGCTGTAGTTAGAAGCTGATTGGCTACCATGCACATCTGCACCAGATTCTGTATTCTCTTAGTAAATCAGCTCAAGTGAAGTGGATTTACGAAAACTGGAGCACACAATCTAGTGCAGCTCTGCATAGTAACCAATCAGCTTCCAGGTTTTATTGTCAAAGTTTAATTGAACAAGCTGTAGTTAGAAGCTGATTGGTTACCATGCACGTCTGCACCAGATTTTGCATTCTCTTAGTAAATCAACTCAAGTCTCCTAGATTGTAAGCTCCAAGGAGCAGGGCCCTCCTATTCCTCTTGTATTGAACTGTATTGTTGCTGTATTGTCTCCCATTATATTGTAAAGCTCTGAGAAAACTGTTGGCGCTATATAAATCCTGTATTATAATAATAATAAAAGTGAAGTGGATTTACTAAAACTGGAGTGCACAGAATCTGGTGCAGCTGTGCATAGTAACCAATCAGCTTCAGGTTTTATTGTTAAAGCTTAATTGAACAAGCTGAAGTTAGTAGCTGATTGGTTACTATGCACAGCTGCACCAGATTCTGTGTGCTCCAGTTTTTGTACATTCCCCAATGGGTATTATTGATAAAACTTATATTTCAGGATAATATTCTATAAAGTTAAAGAGTCATCAAATATAATAAATAATAAAATGTGAGTATCTAACCAAGATTATTTCTATCTGTCTAGAGATGATAACCCTGTTGCTAAACGAGAATATGATCATGCAAGTTCTGCTTTTCAGCATCTTACCTGAGTAATATTGAACGTCAGTTATTCAGTACAATCCTCTCTTTCCTTCATCTACATTGAGTATATACACCTATATGTACTGTGTACTGACACACCCATCCACACCTGATTTTCCATAATACCACCCACCTGTACAGTACCCATCCCTTCCTTGGGGCTTTCCAATGATCCCAAATATTGAAAGATCTTCTGTTTATCACCGCTGTACCACAAAACCTTGTACTGTATGATGCATTACTACTACTGATGCTCTCAGGGGCGGACTGACAACTCATGGGGCCCCCGGGCAATAGGGGATCATGGGGCCCCTGTGTCCTTGCCCAAACTCAAAAAAAGCCTATGAAAAAGGTACCAGGGGCATCTCATGGGGCCCCCTACTGACCCTGGACCCTCGGGCAGTGCCCGAGTTTCCAAATGGTCAGTCCGCCCCTGGATGCTCTAGACCAGGGGTGTCAAACTGACAGCCCTCCAGCAAGTCCCATCATGCCCCTACCTTTAGGAGTCATGCTTGTAACTGTCAATCTTGCAATTCCTCATGGGACTTGTAGTTTGGCAACAGCTGGAGAGCCGCCAGTTTGTCACCCGTGTTCTAGACTAACCCTAGGTTCACATCTGTGCGGGTGGTGCCCCTGCGGATCCGCACGAAAATCCGTGCAGCCACACAACCCGCACATAGAAATGCGGACCCCGTGGGCAAGTGCCATTAGTTATAATGGCACACCACCCGCACTGGAAAACGCAACCATACTGGGAATTGAGGTTCCAAAGAAGTGCAGGGACTTCTTCCCTGCGTGTCACGGGCACGGGAGTCCATTCAAATGAATGTGCTCTTGTGACCTGTGCAAAACGCGGCCCACACGGCTGCATATATATGAACCAGGGGTAAATGTAAAATGAGGAATATTGTACTAAAGCAGGAGCAGCATGAACTACTTGTTCATTCATTGAATGATATTTAGCTTCTGAACACCCCGGTCACATAGGGTGCGACTTGGCATGTACTTTGCATGCCATGCGACTTGCAAATCGTATGCCAAGGCACAACCTATTGTCCGCTATTACAGCGGTCATATCGGTGCGGTTACGACTTGGTCAGAGCCGCATCTATTTCTAAAGTAATGCATAGAAGAGCAATACAAAACAGCATGCCTCCATAGTAAAACACACACAGCACACAGTTAACCCTTTGATCGCCCCAGATGTTAACCCCTTCCTGCCCAGTGCCATTAGTACAGTGCCAGTGCTTTTTATTAGCAATGATCACTGTATTAGTGTCACCGGGGATGTCAGTGACAGTTAGTCAGTTTCCCCCCCCCAGTGTCAGAATGCCCCCTGCAGTCCCGCTATAAGTCGCTGATCGCCGCCATTACTAGTATAAAAAATAATTTGAAAAAAATTCCAGTATATATACCGCCATTTGTAGACACTATAACTTTCACGTAAACCAATTAATTTACACATATTGGGATTTTTTTTTAGCAAAGACATGTAGCAAAATACATTTTGGCCTAAATTTATGCCGAAATTTGATTTTTAAAATTTTTTTTACTGGATATGTTTAATAGCAAAAAGTCAAAAATATTGTTTTTTTTTTCAAAATTGTCGGTCTTTTTTTGTTCATAGCGCAAAAAATAAAAGCCGCAGAGGCGATCAAATACCACCAAAAGAAAGCTCCATTTGTGGGAAAAAGGATATAAATTTCATTTGGGTGCAGCGTTGCATGACCGTGCAATTGTCAGTTAAAAATAATGCAGCGCCGTATCAAAAAATGTTGGCCTGGTCAGGAGGGGGGGGGGGGGGGGGGAGTAAATCCTCTGGAGGAGGGCAAGTGGTTAAGTCTATCAGTGTCTGGATTGTTATTTTTTATACCTACTTGCAGTTCAGCTTTAAAGTAACATTAAAGCTTATTTTTTTCTCTTTAAAATAACAAACATGTTATACATACCTGCTCTGTGCAATGGTTTTTCAGTAGCCTGATCTCCCTCTTTTGTGGCCCCCCTGTCAGAACTCCTGGCTCCTCCTCTATGGCAAGTGCCCCTATAGGAAGCTGCTTCCTATGCAGGCACTAGTGTGGGCTTGCTCCTGAGCCACCTTGTCTGCGTCCATTGACACAGATAGTGCGGCTGGGCCCACCGCTCCCTTGTCAATGAATTTGATTGACTCCTGCTGCTATCAATCTGTCCAGTGAGGAGGGAGAAGCTGAGGTTTTCCACTGTTGATTACTGAGGAAAAACCAAATAATATGAATTTCTATTTTACCGTTTGACATCATCTTATTTGTGACTGATGTGCTTCCTTTTTTTTTTTTGATGACGTTAGGATTTTTGTCACATTTGCAACTTTTTTAAACTGCTGTCATCAATGTGTTCAACAAAGTTTCAATTAGAGAAAGCAATCATCTTTCCAATCACTGCATGCTGTAGAAATATTAAGATCTGATTAAAGGTTTAATAAATTTTAACTATTTTTGACATGCTATAATTGTGGATTGTTTGTCCCTTACCCCAGCGGCTCAACACGTTTTCAGTGGAATCAAATTTGATCTGCCACAAGGCAAAGTATATTCTCCTATGAGTAAACCATGAAACAATAAATGATGATCATCCGCAGAATACAAGTAGGATTTAGATGTTGACGTACGAACTTTTTAAACATCAGAGGAG